ACCCAAAAACCCTTCCCAAACCCTAATCCTAACCTTAATATTAACTTTAACGTGAAAAAATTGGTGTTAAAAATTTTCATACCAGCTTATTTTCGAAAACATACGGTAACTACAACACCATACGTACAGTATATTAATTAGTTTTTGTAAATTCATTAATGTAAACAAAATAATAAAAACAGTAATAAAAGTATATAATTAAATTTTTTAATCACATTATTCGTGTATAATTTTATCGTTCAACAAAATTTTTTGCAATTTGGTTGGTAGATCTATCACGTAAGCGCGCAAATTTGGTATCGACAGGGCCATCAATATTCAATATGCACAATATGCAATGATCGTTTGCAACAATGGCGCTACCCGCTGGAGATCTTGGCGAGTCGGATTATCATGTGAATGCGCCTTCGATTTGTAGTTACGTTGGATTTGCCGGACATGCTTCCCGAACCGCTAGAAACTAAAATAGCAGCTCTTGATCTCTGGTTCTCCGCAGACTTTCCACGTCTTCTTTCGAGTAATCTTTGTTGTATTTAGTTGTAGAGGTTGTACAATGTTGCCTAGTTTCACAAGTTTGGATCACAAATTAAATGCATGCGTATAAATTTAGTTTTCAAGGAGAAATGAAAATATTTGTATTGTGTAAAACCGGCAATTAATCAAATAATAAGACAACAGGTGAAGAATTTTTGTGGTTTACTGTGATTCAATTCCAGGTGTCAACAAAAAAAAATAACATGATTTCTGCATCTCTGTATCATCATTTGAATGCTGGCAATCTTATTACATATCATATCTGCACGCCTATTAAAACGAATGAACTTATCCGTTTTAAAAACATTTTTCACATACGTATTATTTTTATTCCATACATATATTCATAACAGAAATGTCACGTACGGAAAAACTAATATATGTTTTTTGTGCAATATTTGCATTCTTTTTCTTATCGTTAGCAATAATACCAGCAATAAAAGAAACATTTGTTGAAGAGATTGATCTGATTGACGAGGGAGAGTTAATTAGACAGCTTAAGATCAAACCTACCAATATCGCCGAATGGAAAAAAAGACATTACATAACAGGCTATCTTAATAAGAA